ATTAAATCCCCAAAAATCCTCATTTTTTTGGGCCCCAAAATGTTGATTTTTAACCCCCCAAAATCCCCATTTTTCCCTCCCAAAAAATCCACATTTTTTCCCCCCCCAAAATCATCATTTTTTCCCCAAAATAAAGATTTTTTAACCCCCAAATTTTCCCATGAACCCCCAAAAAATCCACATTTAACTCCGAAAAAATCCACATTTATCCCCCCAAAAAATCCACATTTTGGCCCCCAAAAAATCCACATTTTTTCCCTCAAAAATCCTCTTTTTTTTTTGGCCCCAAAATGTTGATTTTCGGACCCAAAATGTTGATTTTTACCCCAAAATTGTCACTTTCCCCCCCCCAAAAATCAACATTAATCCCCCCAAAAACCAATATTTATCCCCCAAAAATCAACATTTATCCCCAAAAAAATCCACATTTTTTCCTCCAAAAATCAACATTTTTTTTGGGGCCCCAAAATGTTGATTTTTGACCCAAAATGTCGATTTTTAGCCCCAAAACCGGCACTCTTCCCCCCCCAAAAAACGTCATTTTTCGACCTTTCACCTACTTTTGACCCCTCCCCCTTTAACCCCTCCCCCTTAACCCCTCCCCCTTTAACCCCTCCCCGTTTAACCCCTCCCCCTTTAACCCCTCCCCCATTTGACCCCTCCCCCTCCCCTTTAACCCCAATTTAACCCCGCCCCCTTTAACCCCTCCCCCTTTAACCCCAATCAAGCCCCGCCTCCAAACCAAGCCCCGCCCCCTCCCCTTTGACCCAAATTTGACCCCGCCCCTTTAACCCCTCCCCCTTTAACCACTCCCCCAATTAGGCCACGCCCCCCAATTAGGCCCCGCCCCCTCGGCCATGTCGGAGCTTCTCCTCCTCACCCGGATCGTCCCCGGAGGGGGGGGAGGGGCAGGAGGGGGAGGGGCCGGACCAGGAGACCCCTCCCCCACCCCCCAAAAACGGCGGCTCTGGGGGGAGCCCCTGGTGATGGGGGTGAGAGACTGGGAGGGACTGGGAGGGACTGGGAGGGGATTGGGGGGGACTGGGAGGGACTGGGAGGGGATTGGGGGGGACTGGGAGGGACTGGGAGGGGATTGGGAGGGACTGGGAGGGACTGGGAGGGACTGGGAGGGACTGGGAGGGGATTGGGAGCGGATTGGGGGGGACTGGGAGGGACTGGGAGGGACTGGGAGGGGACTGGGAGGGGATTGGGAGGGACTGGGAGGGACTGGGAGGGGACTGGGGGGGACTGGGAGACCCCAAACCCTTACTGGGAGCCCTAAAACCCAACTGGGAGCAACTGGGAACCAACTGGGAGCAAACTGGGAGCAACTGGGATTCAACCGGGAGCCAACTGGGAGTAGCTGGGAGGTAACTGGGAGGTAACTGGGAGCAACTGGGAGACCCCAAACCCTTACTGGGAGCCCCCAAACCCTTACTGGGAGCCCCCAAACCCTTACTGGGAGCCCTAAAACCCAACTGGGAGTCACTGGGAGCAACTGGGATTCAACTGGGAGTAACTGGGAAGTAACTGGGAGGTAACTGGGAGCTAACTGGGAGCAACTGGGAGACCCCAAACCCAACTGAGACCCCTCCAAACCCAACTGGGAGCAACTGGGATCCCTAAAACCCAACTGGGATTCAACTGGGAGCAACTGGGATTCAACTGGGAGTAACTGGGAACCAACTGGGAGTAACTGGGAGCCAACTGGGAGCTAACTGGGAGCTAACTGGGAGCAACTGGACCCCTCCAAACCCTTACTGGGAGACCCCAAACCCTTACTGGGAGCCCTAAAACCCAACTGGAAGCAACTGGGAGCAACGGGGATTCAACTGGGAGTAACTGGGAGGTAACTGGGAGGTAACTGGGAGGTAACTGGGAGCAACTGGGAGACCCCAAACCCAACTGAGACTCCGCCAAACCCAACTGGGAGCAACTGGGAGTAACTGGGAGCAACTGGGATTCAACTGGGAGTAACTGGGGGGTAACTGGGAGGTAACTGGGAGGTAACTGGGAGCACTGGTGGCCCCGCAGGTGTCGCAGGTGCTGCTGGGGACCCTCCAGGTGGCCCTCGGGGGGTCCTTACTGGTGGCACTGGGAGACCCCGTGGGGGCCCAACTGGGGACCCCCCTGGCCACCGGACCCGTGGTGAGAGAGACTGGGAGCACTGGTTTATACTGGGAGGGACTGGGAGGGGATTGGGAGGGACTGGGAGGGGATTGGGAGGGACTGGGAGGGACTGGGAGGGGATTGGGAGGGACTGGGAGGGACTGGGGGGGGGATTGGGGGGCACTTGGAGGGACTGGGAGGGGATTGGGAGGGACTGGGAGGAACTGGGAGGGACTGGGAGCCCCCCAAACCCAACTGGGAATCCCCGAACTCTTACTGGGAGGCCCCCCAAACCCTTACTGGGAGCAACTGGGAGCCCTAAAACCCAACTGGGAACAACTGGGAGGAACTGGGAGGCCCCCAAAGCCTTACTGGGAGCAACTGGGAGGCCCAAATCCCAACTGGGAGCAACTGGGAGTAAACTGGGACCCACAAAATCAAACTGGGAGCCCCAAAACCCAACTGGGAGCAACTGGGAGCAACTGGGAGCCCTAAAACCCAACTGGGAGCCCTAAAGCCCAACTGGGAGCAACTGGGAGTAAACTGGGAGCCACAAAATCAAACTGGGAGCCCCCCAAACCCAACTGGGAGCCCCCCAAACCCTTACTGGGAGCAACTGGGAG